CCAGTTTTATTAAATAAGGACTTGTGTCGCTAAAGTTTCGTCGGAGCGAAGTTACGGAAAATCAATTAACAAACGGAGATGTAACAGTATTAAGTAGGTCTGCTTTACAACAGGAGGATCGTTAATATAAGTTAAGGAGCAATACTGAATTGGACTAAATTGCCTGGGCTTAAGCGAAGAAACAAACATACTGGACACGGTTTGTATAATGCAGTATAAAAATTAAGTCGATGTGCAATTTAACTAAGTTTTTGAGCGGCAAATTGCATACCCATCTCTGCCCTTGGTGAAAGCCCGACAGATCCCGTAAAATTCTACAAGTAAAAGATAGCTCTCAGTCCATAATGGGCTTTCTTTTTGAAGCTCTTGTAATGCACTTTAAATGTCTTACCTTAAAAGTTTGCAGGTTGTTTTGTTTTTGTTTTTGAATTTCGCACAAAACTACACGAGGGCTATCTGCGCTAGCCGTCCCTAATTTAGCAGTGTAAGACAAGAGGAAAGGCAGCTAGTCATCACCACCAACCGCCAACTCTTGGGCTACTCTTTTACCAACGAATAGTGAGATTGACAATCACATTATAACGCTTCCCTGGCTGAAAGGGCGAGCATGTTTGGTGTGACGGGGATTCGAACCCGCGACCCTCAGATTGCAAGTCGAGCGCCCTAACCATCTGGCCATACCGGGCCTGCAGGTTGTTTTAAGGTGACTGCATTCCTCCGTCTTTGTCTCTTGAAAATGCGGAAAACACGCAACATTTTCAAAAAATGAGCAATATCTTTGAGAGGATATTCATGAGCGTTCATTCTAAAAAAAAATGTTGTAAGACAGGGGAAGTGGATCGGAAGTGAGGAGGTGGAGCAGCCGAGTCGAGAAGTTTGGCATAAATGGTAAACCAGTTGCGTCACTTCTTGTTCAAAGCAGCCTATTTCACAATAGAGATGTGGTCAAGATTTCTACTGTTTGAATTTGATATGTTTAATGCATTAAATTTAATAATAATATTTAATTTTTCTTCAACGGAAACTATATTCTACATCAAGAAGTAAGAAATATCTTAAAATATTTTAATTATGAAATAGTTCTCTAATTCAGGCTTAAGTGCTTATTTTAACCCTAGTATAAACTGGAAGTTAAATGGTGTGAATCAGAAAACAACAGCAATATCTTTATTCTCCTCATTGCAGCTGGATATATTTTTACTGTATGTTTTGGTTATTATGGGAAACAAGTCAAAATGTTGAAAATTTTATTTACAATCTTTGACTTATAGAATTTTGTTGTTGTGTGAGTTCTGTTGAAACTCAACTATTTACAATAGCTACTGCAGCAACGATTGAAGGGTTATTCTACAAAATATTTTTATTTTTCAATATATATTGGACGGTTTAATAAGAAGAACGCTTATACCCCAGTGTTTATACTAAGCTCCGCTGGGCAGAGTAGATAATCTTTATTTATTATCAAGAGAAAAACACAATGTACGTACTTGCTTTCTGGATGCTGGACAGTCGCTTTTCACTGGAATTGTGAATTGGCCAACTGGCTTTCTTCCAACAATATTTTTCCCGACAAAAAGCTCATTTAAGATCCCGTGAATGTATACTTAAGTATAATGTTTATTACTTAACGGAAACGAAGAATTTACCCATAGCAACTTGTGCTATCAACATAACATAGGCATTTTCATTCGACATAGGAGAGGCCATAACGGCGAGATATCATCTACGCTATCATTGGAGGACAGTAGTTGTCAACATTTTTGCACAACATGCAGCATTGCAATATTAAGCCAATGGGCAAAATAGGTATTATGCCCAGACATAATAAAGGGAAAAAAGACAGCTACAAAAGAAATTAACCTAACGAGTTTCTGGACAGCATTGTATGCAAAAACCGCTTGGACTAGAACAAATGAATTTTTTTGAAAAATTCTACATTACAATAAGAAAGAATAAAATGGATTGTATGTCTGCATACTACAATAACAATCATTCTGGATACGTGGTATTTGTTTGTTTTAGAGCAAAGTCACATTAGGCTCTCTGCCAGGTCTACCACAGGGAATCGAACCCCAGATTTCAGCATTGTAAATCCGCAGACTTACCACTGTCCCACCGGGGGACATGATATTTGAGAAAACACCGTTGTTGTTTTTTAGCAAATAAAAGTGAGTAATTGTAGTTCACATATTTTCAAGATTTTTCATACACACATGTAGAGTTTTGTACAAAAAGAAATAACATTTTTTGTTAAGTACAAAACCGTACAATTAGATATTTGTGTTGTGGCCACAGCAGACATCAAACCCTATGTTTTAGCACAGAATACCTTAATCATACTGTTGAGCAACTGAGAGTATAGAGAAATCAGTTCTTGGCTGTGTCAGTGTTATTATGTGTGCTAGTTACACAATTTCTTGGATTATTCCTGTTGGGGATCTTTGAACTCTCTCTCTCTCTCTCAGGAGTTGTAGCATGAAGTATTGGTTCCTGTAGTTTGGCTGGTCAAGGAATTGTTTCATGGGATAGTTTTGAGTGTCACATGAAGTAGAGATATCTTCATTCCAGTACCCATTTTCTGATTGTCAGCTACAAAGAGAATTAGTACTGTGAATACAGTTTTGGTAATTTCACATCACATTCATTCCAATTTTTGAATAGGATAGTCTGTCTGATTAGAAAGAGCTAAAAATGACTTGTGAAGTCAGGTGCTGTGTATTGTTTATATTAGTCTCTACTGATCATGTGCTTCTTTATTCCATTCTTATATAATAAAATAGAGCAATACCTTACTCATTCTCTTTATTTAAACATAGTTCAACTCTGTTAATTTATTAGTTTCGTTTTGTAATATTTTTTCTGCAATCTGGTGTCCTGTCTCCATATCATTTTCTTCAATAAAATGTTTTGTTTTTACCTTGAGTTCGTCACCATTTTAGTCTCTTTCATTTCACTTGTATCAAATCACAATACCAGCTCATTTGCCTATGAGATCCATAAACATCTTGTTTTTCTGCAAATCGAATGACCATGAGTTAGTTTTATTCTCGAATTATTATTGCATCTATTGTCCTGTCGCCTCTAAAGAGATGTACATATATATTTAAATATTTATGTAAAGATTGTTTTACACTTTGTTATTCATTGTGTCTACTCTACTTCTCTCTCTCTCTGTTTCAGCCAGGTTAAAAATTCAGATCAATTCTACAGTAAAGTTTCTGTCATATTTCCAGTTATTGTGGCACTACTCTCACGTGTAAGAAGTCAGTGCATGTGTGAGCATCACAGTGTAAAGTAGTAAGGTTAAATTTTGTTATCATTACCAGGATATATTTTTGTGGAGATTTTTTGTTTCCTTAATACATATTTCTACAGTCTTTTCTACTCTCATTGAATAGATAAGTTTGTACTCATAAATAAATAAATGTATATATATATATACATGAGGAGAGGGGATGGACACCAACGGCGGTTAACGATATGAGACTGTTATATGATCTAGTAGAAGCCCTTGGTCATCATTGTTGACACAAAGGGCCATACCCACTTACTGAATTAGACAGATTTATGGAGAACCATATTCACTATTCTTTTCCTGTAAGAAGACTCAGATTCAGATGACCAAGGGCTTCAATGGTAACTTGTTGTCTGGAGGTCTAAAGATATATTTATAGGGCATTTGGATTATCATCCTTCATTAGGATTTAATCTGTTCATTGTCATCCATAGCCATATGAAGGTTGCAGTTGCTGATGGCAGTGGACAGAGTCTGCCAGTTGGAGCTGTTTCCCACCAGAAGAGACAATAAATATCTGGTAAGGAATACGGAATAGATGTGAATGTCGCTATAAAAATAAGTATGATTCTAGAACAACTGTGGATAATAGAGAAACCTGGGATTGTAAAGATTTGGAAGTAAAGTCTCCTACAGCAACATGCCATCCTGCTTTCCAGTAGTAGTGACCAAATATCTGCCCAAAGCAGGGCTTCTTAGCTCCAACAAAACTGTATGCCCCTGACATTGTGGTGTCTCAGCTGCGTGTTGACCAAAATGCCACTAGAGATGTTTTGTTTCTGCAGATTCAGGTCCTTGTCTGTAAAGTGGAACATATATCCTCTCAGTGTCGTAGGTACAGCTAGGGAAGATCTGAACAAATTTCTTAAACATTTCAAGAAGGTTACTGCTTTGAATGAATAAAAATGGGAGGACAGGCAGTGCAATGGCTGATATCTAATCTAGCTGGTTCAGTGCTTGAGTTGATCAAGCATCTAGATGAAGAAACAGAACTTACCTGGTTGTCCATGGAAAGTCAGATGAGAACATACCAGATTTGTCAAGATGCTGTCATTGATCTCCTGATCATTGCAGCTGGTATTACCTACTAGATCAGCTGTTAAGACAGTTTGTTGATCAGCAGTTTAACAGATGAAAGGAAATTGCATTCCTTACTTTGTTATGTCATGTAATGCTTCATGGTAAGGATGTCTAAAAGACATGGCATGAGACCCATTTGATTATGATACATTTAGGATGATGATAAACTGATTGAAATATTAAATAGGAATAAAAGAGCATTATGACCTTTACTTCATACTTAACAAGCAAAATGTCATTCAGAGATGCTACCAGATATTATATGAGAATTTCTCAATTATTATGCAGTTAGGTGAGATGACGTTAGTAGATATAATGTTAAGAACATTGGCAGTTTGTATTACTTGTGAATTTAAAGAGCATTATTATCCTCATTTAGTTATCAAGTAGTGTTGTCAGGGGTATACATGCAGTACATCATGTGAAAGCAGTGAATGAAAGTGTTGATAGGAAAGCTGAAGTAATTAGATGCATTAGGACATTTACATTTGACATGATAATAAATCATAACAATTTAAAATACATCCACATGAAATGGATTGTCATTCTCATACACTTTTGCTATTTGACACCACATTTCAATACAAACTCTTGAGTGCCATCTTGGCATAGGACGGATTTGATTTTGATTAACAGAATGTTTACAAAAGAAATTACCTGAGATCACCTGTATAAATTAAAATGCGAAGTTTAAGGAACATTTACACACAAGTGTATGAGATGTATATAGTGAGGGAGTTTTGCTTTTGATCATTGGCCATTACAACTTTGGAACCTATAATTTTAGCTGACCTTTTGACTCATTCAGCGTTGAATTCAGAACTTTCCACTGGGTGGAAAGGGGTGCGTGAAGCTGGAAGGGATGAATTATAATTCAAATTTGACAAAATGGAAAATACTGTACTTCAGAGAGGGAATTTTTTTTTCACAGGAGAAATCACCCTTGTACATCCCCTGAATTCAACACTGGATGCATTTGTAGAGTTTCATGTTTAGAGAAACTAATTCTGGTGTTGTAGCTACCTTATCAAATATGTTAGTTACACAAATCTAGGGATAACTCTCTTGTAATTTTCTGAACTCTCTCTCTTAGGAGGTGTAGCCAGAGAACTGTTTTGGTCCTGTGTTATATGTTTACTTGTTACACTGTTAATGTACAGATTTAAAAATATTTGGAGGAGACATTATCCTTATTTTTGCTTAGGGGATGACCTGGTGACGTGAGTAGCATACTCCCTCTGATCCTATCGATTCGAGTATATAGTAGTCAGTTCTCTTAGTCTAGAATAAATCTTAAATAAACTTAGATTGATTTTTGAACTGTGTCATATATTGTGTCTAGCCTCCTTTCTCCAACTCAGATTAGAAATTTACATTAGTTCCGCGATACATTTTGTTTTGTAGCTCCAATTATTAAGGTACTACTTTTGTCTGTAGGAAATCAGCCACGCGATAATACTGCAGATGCAAGCTTAAAAACGCTATTTGCGAT